CAAAACATACTAATCAAATGATCCTGAAGAAACGCTCTTTCATCTTGCCTGTACTACTGTGTATGTACAGCAAAATGACAATAAACTTGATTTGATTTGATTTGTTCAGCTGGTCAAGATGATCGGATCCTTGGCACTCGACAGTGCATGTCTTCCTCTGTTGAATGCTGCTACCAACGATGTGAATTTCTCCACTGTGAGATAAATAAAGGCATATCTTATCTTATCTTATTTCAAGCTCATATTGCTTAACCATGTGACTACAGTTTATATTTTGTAAGGATACTGGGGCAGCTAGCAGTGATAAATTAGTCTTGGTATTTTTCTTCTGTTCAGATTAATTGTTCATTTTCTGAAAGCTCAAATGTCCGCCTTAAATTACTTGTTTTGTGTGACAACTGGTCCAGCGCTAAGAGATACTCAGCTAGCAGTGACATAGAAAAGAAAGAGCAGCAAATTGTCACAATTAAGAAGACTTAACCAGTGAATGTTTGCTTTTCCTAATCACTTAGCAAAATGATTAGCAACTAATCAAATACCAGACTAATTGTTATGAAATTAAAAAAACATATCAATGTAACGTAATTTAAGTGCTCCTTTATTGTCTATGCAAATGTATGCATAAATATTTGGCTGAGCAACTTAGCCCTCCTAAAGACATGCGAGACATATATAGTTACTACAGTTAGTTGACCTTTTGATGCGATGTATCTTCTCCATAAACAGGGATAAAGATGAGATTTTCTGGGGAAATGTGCATTTTGTCTACATTACACAAGAGGTAAATCACTGAGCCAGCCCAACCGTTTTTTTTAATCTAACAGTGCGATCAAAAATATATTTTTTCCAAACTCAAACGCTCTATGTGTTCGCGGCAACAGATATTTAAAGTCTTACTACTTTTTAGCCTAGGGGCTTTATTCCATCATCATGGGAACAGGGAAAAAATTTCTTCAAGATGGCACAGCAGATGGCAGCCTCCGCACTGCACTTACGAGGAATTTGTTTATTTTTGTTTAATTTCTCTGTGTTTGGTCTGACTGGTGTTTAGCCACCTGAGGTTTATAGTAGGTCCCCTGCTGGACCTCCTGCATTCAGCGGATGATGCAGTCAATCTGGGGCTGCACTTCATCCTGCAACATCTAGTTGGTCCTGGGAGTTATGCAAGGATCCTGTTTATGGACTTCAGCTCGGCTTCAACACTATCATCTCTGGAATCCTCTCCACCAAACTGTCCCTCCTTAATGTGTCTCCATCCATCCGTCAGTGGATTACCAGCTTCCTGACAGACAGGAGTCAGCAGGTGAGGACGGGAGACATCACCTCGACAATCCGGACTGTCAGCACTGGCGCCCCCCAGGGGTGTGTCCTATCTCCACTTCTCTTCTCCCTCTGTACCAACAACCGCACCTCCAAACACCCAGCTGTCAAACTCTTGAAGTTTGCAGACGACACTACAGTCATCAGCCTGATTTAGGACAGTAACGAGTCTGCATATCGGCAGGAGGTTGAGCGGCTGGTTTTGGTGCAGCCAGAACAACCTGGAGCTGAACAAGCTCAAGACTGTGGAGATGAGAGTTGACTTCAGGTGACAGTCCTCACCACTGCTCCCCCGCACCATCAGCAACAGCCCTGTGTCAGCTGTAGGGTCCTTCAAGCTCCTGAGGACTACAATCACTCAGGACCTGAAGTGGGAGAAAAACATCCGCTGCATCCTCAAAAAGGCTCAGCAGAGGATGTACTTCCTGCGATAACTGAGGAGACACAGTCTGCCACAGGAGCTGTTGATACAGTTCTACACCGCCGTCACCGAAGCTGTCCTGTGCAGCTCTGCCACTGTGTGGTTCGGAGCAGCCACACTGCAGGACTGAAACAGACTGCAGCGCACAGTATGAACAGCTGAGAAGATCATCGGAGCCCCCCTGCCCTCCATCCAGGAACTGTACTCCAGTAGAACCAGGAAGAGGCAGGGAACATCATCACAGACCCCACTCATCCAGGTCATAAACTGTCCTGCCCCTTCCCCTCCAGCAGGCGATACAGCGTGCTGCATACCAGTGGTGGGCCGTCAGGGCCAGCAAGCCCTTCTCTGCTGGCTCTATCAGCATCACTGACTTGCGTTGTAATATTTTCCCATTAATCTATTTACATTATTAGGGTCCGAGGACCCCTACTTGCTGCAGCAAGAGCTTCTTTCTTCTTATTATTTGCCTGACCAACGCGAAACCCTTAATTTGACCCCCTAAACACGCTCAAAAACTCACCAAAATTGGCACGCACCTCCGAATCGGCGAAAAATTTGATAAAATGAAAAAAAAAGAACAAAAGTGCTCTCTAGCACCACCTAGTTACAGAAAAACACACTAAAATTACCCTTGCGGCCAGTAGGAATGTCGTACAGAGATCAAACCAACACCAAAACGTTCGTCTCAATGAGACCCACAAATCTCGCGCCGACACCCCTGACCTATCTCCAACAGGAAGTCCGCAATTTGCCTTTCAAAGTAAGAAAATGAGCGAAAACTTCTTTTGGGAAAAAATTATCTTGTCTGACACCGTAAATCGTACCAGCTTGAAAATCGCACAGGAGACAGAGAAGGCCTTGATGTACAAAAGTTCTGAAGAGATTTGGCGTTTCTCAACCGGTTTTCGAATGGCGAGTCGTTACACTTGATGAGCTGTTGCAGCTTCGGCTCAAACTTTATATGGTTGTCTATGGGACGTGCAGACATGCTGTGACATTTGGTCATCTACACAAAAACCTGAAGGTCCTACAGCTTTAAAAATGACACTGAGGGCTTCCTAGCAAGATTTCCCACAAAAATTCCTTGTTTTTACACACATTTGGTGAAAATTGTGGCAGTGTGGGAGAGAGAAAGTGAGTAAAACTCTCAGCTCTCTCAGCCAGGGCCATGCAGAACGATGACATCATCACAGCTCAGTGCAGCTGCTCCTGTCACTCACTGACAGGCTGAGCAGAGACAGAAACATGGCTCCTTCAACTTAAAGCAGGTTTAACTTGAAGAACGGTCAGACGGTCATGAGGTCGCAACGCGGACCGAGGACCCGACAAACGCTGCTTGCAGTTTTACTTATATTAGAGCTTCTTTTTTTTTTTTTCATCCAATCATATTTCAGCCATCATGTGTTGCCAGGGTCACAGAAATCTGCCCTGAGGCTTCAGAATCAAAAATGCAGGCACAGGTAGCTTAAAATGCATTGCAATGAAACTGTGGCTTTAACCAATCAAATTTAGAATTGGGGATCCCAGGGCCAGCTAGCTGGCCTACGATAATGTCATCACTTTCACATCCTCTGATTGGATGGTCAGAGAGCTTAGCCAAAGCTAGCGATTGGTATCTGTAGCGAATTGCACAAGCTATAACTTCATCATCAAGTATTGTTTTTTTGTTTTTTTGTTTGTTTGTTTTTTTAAGTTAAGCAAGTGGACATTCTTAGCCTTAAAGCAAATTAAAACTTATGCCAGAAACACGACTGGACAGACCTGACTTTCAGCATTAGCCTCCATGGTGATAAAACAGGACTAATGTTGGAAGTGAAACACGGTTTACCTGCTCAACAGAGTGATTGAACTGTTTATGATGAAAGAAAGGAGGATGGAGTTTGTGTTAAAATCATCACGTTATGACGAGTAAAATATATATTTTTGTCATTTTATTGGGCTGATGTTGATGCTCCTGTTAGGTGTGATGTATGTGGTGCAGCTGTGGCTGCAGCGAAAGGAGACTTGTTGAATTGTTTTAACTGGGTTTCTTGCTTTAGTGATGGCATTCATTCTCGCTACATGAGATACCTGTCTGCGATGCAACATCCTGCTGTACTGCGTTCCTGCATAATACTGATGGTTTCTATAGCCGTGGCGTCATAATGACGGTGTTAGGAGATGGTTTGATTCAGGCAGGCTGCCACTGAAGGCCTAGGAGTAAAATGCACGGCCCGCTACTGCTGCATACTAAAACCACCAGACATAAAAACAGTTTTCATCCCGCTGCCATAAGTCTACTGAGCCATTCTCAGCCAATAACACTGCAGATTACTTATATTGTTATTTGCGCTGCTATTTTGCACCACTGTACATATATTTTTTCTGCTCAGAAGTGTAAATTCTTGTATATATTTGTTATCTTATTTCATTTATTAATATTATTTATTTTATTTTTTATTTTTTTCTTTCTGTAGTTATTTTACTTTTTTTAATTTTTATTTTCCTATTTCTATTATTCTCCTTGCTCATTCCTCGGGCGACATCAACAGCTGAAACCAAATTCCATATATATTTTGTACGTACTTGGCCATTAAAGCTGATTCTGATTCTGATTTTGACATTGAATGCGTTATCTAAGGGCATACTTAAAGTCAGCCAACATCACTGATGCTTAGTTCTCCAGTGGGCAATGAATTTCTTAAAATGATGAGCTATTTTCTATGCTTTAAGAAAAGGTCCAAAAGTTTTTGTCTGTGTCACAGTAAAACTGTAGATGTATTGCTTGCTTCTATGTGCATATCCTCCTGAGTATGGCCTAGGAGTCTACTTCTGTCTGCCTGTATCTGAAGATGTAGCCCATTTAATATTTGCCCAGGTACGAAAGTGCATGAGAGATGAGGACCGTAATCAGTCAGCTTGCATGTGAAGTTAATAAAAGTCATTCCTCGATAATGAGCAAAGAGATAAGGGAATACTCTCTGCAAAGGTCAGCAGCCAGGTTGGCACCATATGCTCAGGGTAGGTAAGTTTGGAAAAAGTTAAGTAGTGATGAACTCTTTTGGTCTTTGACGGTGTTGGTGGTAAAGTTGAAGTTGAGCTCATCAGACCATTAAATGTCTGTGGTAGGATTTTGGGTTAACAGGAGTAGAATTCAACTGATTATGATGTATTCCCATTGTTTTTTCAGCACTGATGGACTCAAGTCATGTCACTTCTAATTAAATACAGCTGAGCCACAGAAATGATTAATTATATTTGTATATACTGTGTACAGTGGGAGCTACTGTGGTTCTTCATCCTCCTTTTTACCTTCTGTCTGCTGCTGGTCTGGTTCTACTTCTGGTGGGAGGCACATAATGACTACAATGAATTTAACTGGTGAGTATACAAGCAGCCTGATTGTTCCTGTGTGTTGTCAGGTTAAACTTGATAAATGCCTGCATAGAATTTTGACTGTGAAAGCGTTCTACCCATCCTTGTTTGCTTGTCAATTTCCCAAATCATCAGTTTAATCTGTCCTCTGCCGTAATCTAAGCAGGGACCACCCAGCCTTCCGCAGATTACATTATTACATAACAGATGAATCGCCGAACATTTCCTGTACTGTTCATCGTTCAGCCCCATGCCACATTTACTTGACTTCATACAAGTTTATATGACAGCATCAATGCAAACCAACCACAGGTTTTCGATAGCTTCTTACTTACATAACATCACAGAGCATCATGAAAACACTGTACTTCATACGTTTCTTTGGAAAGCATACTGAACCTTAGAATGTCAATCTCAAAAACACTGCAGAAATTTTCCTGGAGAATCAATCAAACACTGTTCAAAACATTAGTTTTAGCATCTCACTATCACCCTAAGACATTCAGTCCCCAGCCCTTTTTTAGTAATGGTAAATTTATATCACAGGATAACAGATAACATTTTAAACTACATGTAGTTTGAAATCTTAGATAATGTATAATACAACATGCTCTTGAGCACACTGCAGTACAGAATGGTTACTACTCTGGCCCATTTTGTCACATGCTCTGATCTTTCTCTCTATCTCCCTTTCCCCTCCCCCTCTCCTTCTGCACTTAGGGACCTCTGCAATTCCACTTTTCCTCTTATTATCGTCCTTTGCCTCTATTACCTCCTCTCACATTCCTTTCCTACTGTAGTTGTTCAATATTACCCCTTTTTCTCTCATATATGTCCTAAGTTTTGGTTTAATTTTCTTAGCCTTTTTCTTTGCATCTTTCGTTCAGGGTTGATTTGCCATCCTCTTTTCTTAAAGAAACACTCAGTCCAGTTTATCGGCAAATCTCAGCCATTGCTTTTATCTCAGTTCATGTCAGGTTTGATGGACAGGCATTTGCCATTCCTTTTTTATTCCTAAATGTCCTGCTTTTCTTCCTGCTTTTTTGTTCCACATATAATCAGAGCAATGACATCCATGCCCTTATGTGTTCTAGTGATTTAGCAGCAGGGAGTGTCCTGGTCCATCTGCACTATAAACATATTCACAAAGGGCTAGGAGCGATCAGAATTAAGTGACACTGCTGTGAATCTGTGCCACTGGAATCACTGATAAGGCTTTGAATGTAATTAAAGCGAGGCCCTAGCTGTCATGTCTAAACACACACACACACACACACACACACACACATACACGCATTCATACACTTTTTATTTTTTCTGCATAATTGCTAAGAGTAACATGAAGATATTTATATGTGTGTTTGTGTGCATAGCTATGTCTGGCTGCATTAAAATAACTGATTAATGCAGGGTGATATGTTTTTTGTTGCTTCTACTTACTGTTTCTTGCACTGAAGATTCCCATAAGACAGAAAACAGTTGTCAGTAATTGCTAACTATCCATTAATAATAACAATTACATAATCTCTTGTCTGAATTCTCCCTGTGATTCAACAACAGTGTCTGCGGTCACTTTGCTATGTCTGTAGTGGCTTTATAGCAACAATAAAGCTTGAGAGCACTTGATGTGTATCTGTCCTTAAGTCAAAGACATCTATAGCACCAGCAGTCTGCCAGCAGTCTAACAGTTTACCAGTCTCTCACAGGATGTACCTAATCTTTGCCCTTCTTTTTCTATTAGATCCTGTGCAGTGTGGTAATGCTGTAGACTTGTAAACTCAAATTCCGCTGCTTTCCATTTGTCAAAGTGTTTCTTTTTATTGTTAATGTAGCATAATATCATTCTTTGTATAACTGTAAGCTCATAAGTTGTGGTTTGTTTTGCATGATAGAAAATGGCAAGTAGTGCTTCAAGCAGTCAAAACAGACACACCCTTCAGTAATGAAGATATGTGGCTGAGCACTCATGACAAGGAACATTATGAGCTCTCTTGTCGCTGCAGGTTCCTGTACAACCGCTCTGGGGAGTGGAGTGATGGCACTGCTCCCATCCTGGCCACCACTGCTGCTGGCTTCACCTATATTGCGTTTTTAATGGTGAGTTCCAACTTAAATACTCACTCAGGAGGTGCTTAACATATTGTGCTCATCATAATGCTTTGTGGATGCAAATTCAGACGTGTTTGCATATGTTGCCAGGCATTGCACCCACTTACATGGTGATTCTGAGCAAGTTGAGATCTGTGAGGCAGCAGACGTGGTTTTTAAAAGCTGTGCCCTGTGTTGCTGTCTTTTCAGGTTTTAGCACTTTGCCACATTGCACTTGGGCAACAGTTGAATTTGCACTGGCTCCATAAGGTACTGTGTCAACTGTGTGTTTGAGCAACTATGTTTATGTGGTTGTTGAAATTGGGAAGTAGAGGGCGCTGAGTTTTACATTAGTGTTTTTCTCTGTGTCATAATGTGTGTAGGTGTGTGTTGTATCTATTTTCTGGGTGTTTGCATGTGTTTTCATTCACTGCTGGTCAGTTGAACTTGTCCTGAACTTACACTTTGGATCAAATTTCCCCAGGAGAGTTGTGAAAGTCCAGTAAATGACCTGTTCAGGAATGTTATCAGCAACCAAATGCAGTTACTAAACACTGTGTGAGTGTGGAAGAGCTTACAGCTATTCAGAGTTATTCTGTGTGGTGTGTGTGTGTGTGTGTGTGTGTGTGTGTGTGTGTGTGTGCGTGTGTGTGTGTGTACTTGTATATGACTGTCTGTGTGAGAACCAGTTTCACTCCCACTCTCTCTTTGTCCACAGATAGGAGTGACCACTGCTTTGCTCACCACTCTTGTTGGGGTGATATCTGTGAATCAAACATGGGGGCAAGAGTGGGATATAATTCCCATCTCCCTGCAGGTCAGCAGACTGAAACACTAGAAAAACTCCAAAGCCAGTTTCAATGACTTGACATCACTGCTGTTGTTAAGTTTCAGGACTAAACCAAATGTTGTGATAAATAGGGTTGGTTTGTTGTTTTAATAGAACAACCAAGACTTGGACCATGAAGCTGTGTGCACTGGATAAAATAATTAGGTGAAATCAGTATTCCTTCACAAAGATATCCAGGCTGCAATTTCTTTTTTCAGTTCTGTGAAAGTTCTCAGATCTTGTTTAAACTTGTTTTCTTTTCTATTTACCAATATCATTATCAGTCAATCACGTGTATGTATATATTATTTTTTTCCTTTTTAAAATGTCCTGTAGTAAAATCCTGTGAGTATACTGTACTAAGTTGATGATTTCCTTGCATTTTATGACTTACTTTGAATTATATTTCCATATTTAACATTGCTATTTGCAACAAAGTGTAATATTTTAAATTGTATAAACGGTTCTGGAGTGGCAAAACACTCAATCCACATTTATCCACATGGCATTTAACAGCTAAATGCATGCGAAGAGTTGTGAGGGGCTTATAATTAGTGTGTCTGTGTGAGATTATTGCACCACCAGGCATGTGTGATTGAAGTGGACACACAATTCCACTGAAACTGAGGCCATTAAAATTGAATGGCTCAACAAATTACAGCCATTATCTCTAAATAGTGTTGCCAATGTCTTAACCCTAGCTAATGCCTGTAATTCCATTCATCTCTGTCTTCTTTATCTCTGTGTCTCTTCCTCTTTGTTCTATCTCTATCTCCCTGTCCTTCATTTGTTCTTTATTCCCTAAATTCATCCTCTCAACTCTGTCTCACATCTCCTTCCAGGCCACAGGTCCATTCCTGCACATCGGGGCTCTTGCTGTGGTCACAGCACTGTCTTGGATCATGTCTGGACAGGTCGCCCAGACAGAAAAAACATGTATGTTTACGCCTGAAACACAGAATACAAGTTGTTCTTACCTATTGTAACCGTCTGCCATAAACACACAAGAGGAGTGGTGAATGATTAACACTATGTGGACAAAGGCCAGGACCTCCACACAGGGTGTCCAAGATAATGAACATTCCTATGGCCTCGTGATGTTTTCCAGCCAGGACACTTCAAATTGTTTAATCCAGGACTCTTTCTGGGGATTAGCAGCTCTGAGTGTGTACTCAAACTCTCACTGAAATTCGTGACTATAGAACTGAACAGGTCTGAATAGATCTGAGAATCTGTGTCATCCCTGCTAGGTTGGGGCCAGATTCTTTTATTATTTACTGTTGAGTAACTCATGTAAATCACTCAGTTTTTGGCTAAATTTGATGGGGTTGAAATGTCTTGGCTATAGTGCTCAGGCTTTAGCATATCTGTAATGCAAGAGCCACATCTGAATATAAAAGAGGATGTGCGTATGTGCGTATGTGCGTGTGTGCGTGTGTGTGTGTGTGCGTGCGTGTGTGGAGGCAGTGAGTCTCTGTGTAACAGGAGTTGGCTACTCAACCCCGCCCCAGAGCTGACCTTGAAACAAATACATTCCCTGTGTCAGGCATGTGTGTGGGTGTCTACACTCACAGCCATCATCGCTAACTTACACAGAGGTAGATGCACGGGAAAGTGTTTTCTCCTTGGCCCCTGATTGTACTGTTGCTAGCCCCACTGTGTAGATATAAACATGACTGACTAGTCATAGCAATTGCTGCTGCTTCAGTCTTAACCAATTTTGACACATCACCTCTGGCAAAATTGTTGTTTCTACATGTTTTGTGCACAAATGAGATACGTAGAGCTCGTAAGTGATCTTTGGCAATGCTGGATGTCAGATTTTGTAGGCTCATTTACTCCTTAGTCCTTCCCCACTCTTCTCCCTGCCTTTCCTGTCTTTCTCCACTTACCTCTACAATAAAGGCTTCATATAAAGGCTTCAAAGGCCAAAAAATGAAAATTTTTAAAAAGAAAAAGAAAGAACTAGGTTAGCTGTTTAACCTGTTTCCAGTTGCTGTGCTGAGCTAATGAGCCGCTGGCTGTAGCTTCATTTTAGCATACAGATATGAGAGTAGTATCAATCCTCTTATCTAACTGTATATCCACATTTCCCAAAACGTCCACCTGTTCATAATTATATCATAGACAATAGCTGTGACATTCTAACTACCATTTTTTGTATTCTTCCAGTGTTCCAGGCGATGGTCGTGCTGTTGTATCTCAGTGTATTACTAGGACTCTATGTGGTCCCCCTATATATCACCTCCCCATGCATCATGGACCCTGACACCCTCAAGCCACGGCCCGATGTTATTGGTCACCAGGGAGCCCCCATGGTGAGTCAGTTGACCTACATCGTTGTCATACAATCAGAATGTGGAAATATGAAACAGACCTCTTTAAATATGTTGCATTACATGTTTGGGTTTTTTTTTTTTTTGACTACCTCAAGCTTTGAGCGACCTGACACTGGTTTCGCAGTGAGCCAACCAGAGAGCTAGGGACCACTTAATACTAATTTGGGAGGGCAGATAAGAATCTTTTGGCCTTACACATATTTATTTCCCTTGTTTTTCATATGTTCTTTTCTCCAGGCACTTAATGTCAATTATTTGTGGAAGGGATACATTTTCCTCTGGACTGTGGACAAAGCCTTGATAAGAAACAATAGTGATTGTATACAGAATGATCAATGTGTACAATTTGTAAGAACCTGCTGAAGTCTTTAAAATATGTTGTATGCACACCAAAGCTTCTTTATAGTTGATTTATGTGCTTAGTTAATTTGATTGCTTCCAGCCGCTACCTGCAGAAAGATTAATGTACTTGGCACAACAGCCTCTGCAATGTTGTGCAACACTTGGATGAAAAGGGAAGGTGGATTCCTGGTTATTCAGAACAGTTTCTCACATGCTCAAAAACACACCCAGTCTTTTGTGGTATTTGTGCAAAGTAATCGATCCTAACAGTGGAATCTAAAATTAGGAGCGGCTCTGCAAGGCTGTGAGAAACAAAAATCACATGACTAGACTCAGTTTCCCAGAAGGAATCTGTATTGATTATGGCATCTTTCCTATCCTGCGGTTGCCAGTCAGTAGCTTTACTCACAGGGTTTCATAGGAAGATGCTATTCTAGTAAGAGATGTTTAACCTAGTGGCTCGATATTGATCATAATCTTGACTTCAAGAGTTAAAGAGCAATCCACAAACCTAGCATTTTTCATTTTACACATTCCTTTGGGTTTCAAGGAGGGAGCGTTTTTTTTATGTCCATTAATGGTTATTGTTGACTAACCTAAAACAGTTGTTCTACCTAGCATTTCATCATTTCTCTCATCAGCAAATGTAGGTCTTCCAGTAAAAGTCACTTATTAGGTTGCTTTGTTGCAGGGCTACTTGTAATAATTGTGTTTTTTTTTATTGTGTGTATTTCCAGCTCGCTCCAGAGAACACACTGTGGTCCTTCCAGCGAGCTCTGCAAATGAACGTCACTGGGTTGGAGGCTGACGTGGCTATCAGGTATCCACACACACACACACACACACACACACACACACACACACTCAATACAGCAGAATGACAAAGCCAAAAAACAAAAGGTTATTTAGCCTGTCTTTGAATTTGAATTTTGTATCCACTGTTTTGTCTTATAATGCTGGTTTCTTAAAAACATGTTTATACAAGTGCGAGAATAAGCTTACACCAGGGTACATGACACAGTCAAAATCTAGATAACAGCATGCACACATCTAAATCCTATGAATTAAGCACTAAACAGGATAAAGTGACACAGTGACTGATAGATGAACACATGACATCACCAACATAATGGAAGGTGACAGACTGAGCTCAGAAACACACACTTGGAGGAAGACGGAAAATATGTGTGGATGCTGTAGTGGTGAGGTCTATGATGGATGTGCATCAATGGAGGATCAGTGATAGTGTGGAGGTGGTAAGTGTTGCTGCTGGTGCAAGGTGTGTGTTTGTATTTCAGAGCAGTATTTTGTAGTGTGGAGATTGTTGTTTTGGTTAATGAGATGTGCAGACTTTTTCTTGCATTTTAAAACACCTTGGCACAGTTTGCGTGTGTACAAATTTGTATGCTTGTGTGTTCCATGTACAGTCTTGAAAGAGGTGAATGGGTGTGTGATTGGTGCAGGCCACTGACAGGTGAACTCCTGACGGTGAGAGTAATTAGACTTGATGACAGCCAGAGTGACAGAGAGACTTCTCTCCAGTAGCAAACACACACACAGACACACGCATAACAATATAACAACATATCATTTATTCCCTATTTCAGTTTCAGTTGATAATTAATTTTGGATATAGAATTGTTTTCTAAGCACACACTCATGCTCATACATTATTTACTTTTTTCTAATAGTTAAAAAAAGAAACTCAGAGTTTAAATAACATATTGAGGAATTTAGTTCAATTCAATTTTATTTATATAGCGCAAATTTACAACATATGTCATATCACAGCACTTAACATAGTAAGGTACAGACCTTGTGAATTTTGAACAGAGAACCCAACAATCTAAGATTGCCTATAAACAAGCAGTTGGAGTGGTGGGAAGGAACCAACCAACCCCTCCCCCCTTTTTTTTATTGGCCAACATACTGATGTGAACTCAAAAAGGGAAGTAATTTAGTACTCAAATATCATGCAGCAGAATTTTCCTCTTATTTGACATGATATTAACCTTTGTCTCTTCTGCTCTCATCTAAAGTCCTTTTTGGAGTTTTTATTCCTCTACGACACACGAGCTACAAGTAACATTTAATCTTCTTGAGCCGTTTTTTTGGTCCCTCCATATTTTTAATTGAAAAAAAACGTGAGCCACAATAGTTGGGCGATTTGAAAGGGAAATACCCCTCTTTTATATTTGATATCGATGAGGGTACAGGAGTTTATACAGATGAACATGATTCTTTACTCTCCTCTGATCACTAGTACGGATGGTGTGCCTTTCCTGATGCACGATCTTACCCTGCGGAGGACCACAGACGTAGAGAAGGTTTTTCCAGACAGACAGATGGATGAAGCCTCAAATTTCAACTGGACAGATCTGCAGCAGCTCAACGCTGGACAGTGGTTCCTCAAGGTAGTTCTTGGTTGCTAATGAGGACTAAATTAAGGGATTATTTTGAAGCTGTTTCATCTTTAAATGACAGCATGACATGATGCAGTGATGCGTGACAATGGCCATTAGCCCATTGAGTAAGATTATTCTGGTTTCTCAATTATTGATCGGTCGTCACGTCCTTGGGTTTCATCAAAATGCTGAGATCAACTAAAGCTTTATGGATGCTCTCCTGCATACAGAGTGGATCATGGTCAGCTAGTGTTTCAAAATAATTGTTTCTCCCTGCTTTAAGTGCTATTACCAGTGGGCCAAGCAAAATGAAAACAATTAAGCAATGAGAAGCATACGCCTATTGTGGTAGACCCTTGACTCTCAAACTGTGGTACGCCTTACCACTGGGTAACGCGAGCTCCCTCTAGTGGTATGTAGAGAACGGTCATAAATATTTTTTTAAAATGAAATTATTTTGAAAATATATATTATCCAAAACATACAATTAAAATACATAACACTACATATTAAATTCATATTGTCTTTCCTTTATTTTTTGTCTTTATCAGTTTCTCTACCATCGTCTCTACCAGCTGCGAATAGCAGCTGTAGCAGAGGCTACAGCTAGCGCATTCGCTGCTAACCGTTAGCAGTATTCGCTGAGACACCTCCGCTTTGACACGCTGTCAGAAGATCCTGCCGAGGACCCTGAATGTCCTCCCCTCCAACTGTATGTCCATCTGGGATGCTGTCATAGAGCCATGTTTCTGTTAAAGCAAACACACAGCAGTCCTTCCACTCTCTGCGTGTTTCTCTCAGTAAACGTAACTCGTCCAGCTTGTTATGGAGGGAGCGGACATTGGAGAGCAGGAGGACGGTCCTGCTGGTCTGGAGGGTTAGCCTTTAGCCTAGCATGGATCCGGCTCTCTTCCTCCTCCTTTGTTTACGTTCGTACCGTTTGCGCGCCCTTCTCGCTCGTGTAACTGCCAGCGTAGTCTCCGATCAGACTCCGTGTTGGTGGAGTATGTCCACATTGCAACCGATCGCCGCAATTCCAGTGCCGTTCACTGTCCTGATGCCCAGCAAAGTCTCCCGACTGTAAGTTTTGCAGAATTAACGTCTGGGATAGACAAGACACATAAAACTTCCATTCTGGCTGTCTCCTGAATAGGCCGCTGCGCCATCAAGACAAAATACAGAGGCAGGATGGCCAGATCTGTGAGTGAAGTTGACCACGATCCAGATATCACAGGACTATGCGCGCAGAGACAGGCGCAGCCTTCTCATTAGGCGCATGTAAGTTGGTAAAAGTCGTAAACATGCTGCCAGTTCTTAATAACTGTGAATAGTTAATTGATCACCTTTTCCTGCTATGTTGCTACAGGTGTTATTTCTAAATAGCGGAGTGTTAACAGTGAGGACACATTGTTCAAAGCGCGACTGAAAGACTGTATTGAGCCTAATAATGGTCAGACAGGTGTGTGTTTTTGGCTCCACATGTGAAGACGGTGACAGTGATGACCAAAAAGGTCTTCATGTGTTGTTCATACCGACATAATGCGCTGACTTTTCTTATGTGAATGTTCATTCATGTTATAGATTTGTGATATATATTTTTTTTACATTTATGATTTTGCCAGCCTATTGTGTCTGTCTGTGTGGGTGTGTGTGAGTGAGAGAGAGAGAGAGAGAGCGAGAGAGTGTGTAAGAAACACAGCTGTTCTTAATGTTCTGGCTTGCTGTATGTATGAGAGGTAAAGAGGTGCTGCACCTGGTTATGTTATATATAGTTATAATGCTGCTGTTGTGTACAGTGTGGTTGTTTCTGGCAACAATTATCAATAAATAATCCTCATATTCAGAGTAAGCATGCTTCCTTTGTGAACAGTCGATAGGGTAAGCCATCACTACTGCATGTTCAGGTTGGTCATAATGGACTTGGAGAGCTCGATATTTTCTCAGGTGGTGCACACTGTAAAAAGTTTGAGAACCACTGTGGTCAACAATTATACCGTCCAGCACTGCTCCATGTAATGCAATTGGACAGAGACACTGCTTTTAAAGCTGTGCGCTGCTTTGCTGTGTTTCAGTGTAGTCCTCACTGCTTTGGCAAATAAGTATGTTGTGTTTACATACTTTCTTATGATGCTTAGATTTTATAAGATTAAAAAGTGCCGAAACATAGACTTGGACTGTGTCTGCATTTGTGTGAATTTCTTTCAGTGTGTACACATTGGGGATGGATATTGCTTCCAAGAATAGCTTTACCACTTCATTGTGTAATTTAGACAAAACATTGCCATAGTTCAAGTTTTTCTTTTTTTAAACAGTGTTAAATAACAAACCTGAAGCAGGAGTACATCATGGATGACCTAATTGTAAAGCCTCTGATTTTCTTCTTCAAAGAGCGAGAGGCGACTGAAGCAAAAGAAGATGTAAAGTAAATGAGTAAAAAATATTGTACTACTTTTATATTACGTGGGCGTTATCCAAATGCTTTCCATGCAGAACACGCTTATGTTCAAAACAACATTACAAACCTGTACATATTTTACTTTAGGTTTCCAGAAATACAATTGAATAGAAGCAGGAATGCTACTACAGAGCAACAATCAATTAAAATTTTAGTTTTAGACTGTAAAACCAATGATTATTGTGCTTCTGTTGAATGCAAATGTGATATCTTTTTTTGTCCTCTTGTTTCAGGATGACCCCTTCTGGACAGTGCACACTTTGGCTTTGCATGAGATAGAACTGATCGCCAACCAGAGTGTGTGCAGCCTGGAGCAGCTTTTAAAGCTGGCCTCCTATCACAACACCACAGTGGTTTTCAGGCTGCGGAGGCCTCCTCCAAAGCACCCCTGCTACCACAGCTGGATCAATAATACACTGCAAGCTGTGCAGAAATCTGGGGTTCCTCAAAGCCTGGTAATTATATAAATAATAAATTATTAATAGAGACACATCTTTAATGTTTAATGCCAAGTGAATGGATTAAAATGCAAATAGCAATGGATGTATCCTATATCTATTTACCCTTGACTTTATTAATGTTGGTGACAGAAAGTGTCGTTGAAACAACATGTTTCCTGTTTGTTGTGCCATATCTAGGTGATGTGGACTCCCGATGAGCACAGAGCTCAGGTGAGACAGTTAGCACCTGGTCTGATCCAGACCTCGGTGGAGAAACAGAGCTCTCAAAGTCTGCAGCAGGATGGCATCAGCAGGCTGCTGCTCAGATACAATCAAGCCAGTACTTGGGAAATCAGGTAGGAACACACACACAAACCTGATATGTTATCACTTTGGCACATTGATTTATATTCGAAGAAGTGACTTAATGTGTGTGATTGTTTTCAGAGACTTCTCCAAGACCCACATAAACCTCACCCTCTACACCGTCAACGAGCCCTGGCTGTACTCAGTACTATGGTGCAGTGGAGTGTCTTCAGTCTCATCAGAGGCCCCGCATATACTCCGAAAGGTGCCTTACCCAATTTGGCTCATGGTAAGAACTCATCACATATGGTTTAAGCTTTTCTCAGAAGGGAGCTTTTATCTTTTTGTAATCAAGTTTTGTTGTTTGTCTTTTTTCCTGCTTTTAAACTTGAGTTTCTGGAGCGGTTTTCTTTTCTCCCCTTTCCCTTATCTGCTAGTGAGTATGGGTGCATAAAGCCGGTAAAGATGCATGTAGCCATGCTCCCTGACAGCCAAGAAAGTTACTGCTTGATAACAGATCATTAAACAGCATACCAACAAGCATTTATTAACTGGTTATAGGTTGACGTCCATATGTTCACCTGCAACATACATAATTTGCATCTCTTTGTACTGGCTATACAGCTTTGTTAATAATTACAAGACCACGATAGCCATCTTTTTTTTGCCTTTTTCTTAGTGATTTTCGTTGGAGCTATTCTGCGTTTTCTGGTCTAGCTTGTAACCGCTAAAGCTTGTGGACAGCTGTTTTACTTACTCCAAGCTAGATATCAATGACTCTCCTGTTGTATCCTTCTTGAGTTTCAATCAACTGTTGACGTTGCATATACAGCTTCAAAATAATAAAAATAAAATAATAGCATGAACTAATGGTGACTGATAAAAACAATTTCAGCGGGCGCCCTAGTACCTCAAGACAGCAACCCATGTCCAGGGGCTATAGTCCTCGACGCAGCGGCTGCCGTTCGAGTCAGCCAGCAGCTCATTTGCTGTATGTCCTTCCCCCACTCTTCTCCATGTTTCCCTGTCTCTCTTCACTATCCTGTCAAATAAAGGCAAAAATAAGAGCCCAAAAATAATCTTTCAAAAAATAAATAAATAAATAAATAAATAAAATAAAAATTCAGCCACGTAGTGTGAATTTTGAACTTTTTCATGTCCAATAGAATATGTTCTAATTATAAATTATTAGTAATTGTTATTATGAAAAAATTCTAACAAAATTATCAGTGATGAAGACTTGTTGTAGAATAATTATTTCCAAAGCCATTGTAAAGTCTGTGAAGTGCCACCTTAACCACACTCTTTTTCAGCTGCATTTTTAAGAAAGTTTGGATGTGCAATTTATAGAAGAGAATATGTTCTTGGCATATAGCTCCACCCTGTGGCGGATCATGATGTAAACATTTTGAGGGTGAAATTGGAATCTAATATGACTGTTTATATGTGCATGTGCTTACAGAGCCCAAGTGAATATTGCCTGATGTGGGTGTCTGCAGACCTCATCTCCTTTGCTGTAGTAATGGGAATATTCATTTTCCAGAAGTAAGTACAGTATGATATAACTACAGTCAAAAAATTGGAGTGAGTGCTTACGCGAGAGTTAATGTTTCTCCATTTTTCTCTTTCACACCCAGACATGCTTATTACTGCTAATTGACAGACACCTTTCACTGACAAATTTCTTTCAGTGTGTGTCACATTCGCTCGGCAGACATTTTTCTTTCTGGAGCACATCAGTCAAATAAGAGCTAATGCATGCCATGTTTTAAACACTTTTTAATACTTTTTACCTATAATAACCTTCAATGACTAAAAAGAATAATCATATTTAAGCACGTTTTTTTGTGGTTTTATAAGCTGTTATTTTCCTCTCCCCTTTTACCTCTGTGGTTTCTTTTTCCACAAACCACTGATGACAGAGATGTACATGACATGAACATGTTTTGTCTTGGATAAACCCTTAATATTCCTCCAATATTTCTGTCCCTCTATTGGTTTTGTTTGTTTCTGTGACAACACCAGAGACAGATGTCCTTGTCCTCCTGTTGTCTCTTGGATGGAGGGTTTTGATTTATCTTTTTGTCCTTCTTATCAGTCCACTGCGAGTTTGCTCTGCTTAGCTGAGCTCTTCAGTAGCTTCTGCTGGCTTCTAAACTGACCTCTCTTTTCTCCCACCTTCTTTTGTCCTTTTTTGTCTTTACTTCTCCTCCCCCTCCTCTCTACTCTGCCTGATTTGCATGCTTTTCTCCTCCTCTGCTGCATTCTGGCATCTTCTCTCAGCTATCACATGATCAGGTAACTGGGTCACCTCTTTTGACCCAAAGCGTTCTCTCCTTTCACCCTCTTTCTGTCTTTCACTTTATTTATCCATCATTCTTTCATTTGACACGCTCTTATTCTGTTATCTAAATTCAGGTTTTTTTGTAGCTCTCATTATTATGTCATCCATCTCATTCAGATTTTTCTCTCCACATTATTTTTTCTCTGTCTTTCCATATTTATTCTTACCTCTCTCTATCTCACCTGAGTCATGGTACTGCACTGCTGTCAAGTTCTCATCTTCATTCATGTGGACTGCGTAAAATTCCACCCACACAGCACAAAATATATAAGTCTTCAGTTTTTAATCTTTTCAGTCTTCAGATTTTAAATTTCTCATCTGTCGTATTAAGTCAAATGATTAAATGTCCAAAATTAACTACATATCTGCATTCATTGATGGAAGTGCCTCAGCACTGGCTTTTATTGGTGTGGAGGAACTAAATCCTCGCTTGTTTGCATTTCTGTTTCTGAATGCTTCTGTGCTTCTGAGTTAATTTATCTGAAATCAAGGCTGTTTTCATTAAAGCAAGAACACTGTTTGGACACACGCAGGAAATTAAATCCTCTGCCTTGATTGTAGGGAGTGATCCTCTGTGCCACTATCAAATTAAAATGTACTCTCTTTACATTTCACAGAATAGAGTAAAATGTTTTGACCTTAGGATTGATTTAGGGAACATTTTCAATAGGCATGCAGCATGCGCATGAAACATGCTTAATATGGAACTAAACATTAGTTCTGTTCATGCTGTAAGTAGGCAGCATTTTATGAAGTACTTTAAAATGGTGAATAATTAAGTTGGTTATGAAAACTCCCTTTGAACATCCATTTAGCTCCTGAAAGAGAGCTGCACAGGATCTGGACCAAAACCCATTTAGTAGCAACTCATTGAACATTTATTAATGGATTACCTTCCAAGGATAAAAACTAGCAAAATGGATTTTTAAATGCCTATAAGTGATTTATAAAGCATGACTAAATTAATGATAAACCATCAGTTAAGTTGTTGCAGCATATGAGTAGTTTGTTAAGGCTTTAAAGCGCTGCTCACATTTTGGTGCTCAGTTTAAAACTTAATACAGCCTATGATGAGAGGTAAATGTGTTGTCCTAAACAGAGTCCTATATTCATACAGGTCATATAAATGCTCTGGCGTCATTTAGTTTTGAGAACAGTCTTTAGCAAGCCCTTTGCTTCAATTTAGAAAGAAGTTTTGCTCAAAGTTAAATGTTTTTCTTCATAAATATAGCTAGGCGTGTGCTCAAGTCTCGTTCTAAATACTGAAATATGATACCGCCAAAAACCAAAACATGACCTTGAGCTTTGTGTTGCGTGCAGAGGCAGCTGGTATGTAGTGATATCCCAATGTCTCAAGGTGATATCTGACCAAACATTTGACACCGCAGGTATCGGACAAGCGGTATGCACAGCTACAACCCTGAACAGATCATGCTGAGTGCTGCAGTCAGGAGGTCCAGTCGAGACATCAACGTCATGAAGGAGAAACTGATCTTCTCTGGTAAGGCCCATACAGTGAAACGATACGAGGTGTGTCAGAAAAGTTTCAGGACTGGTGTCACAAAAGATATATTTCAAATCCAAACTACAAACTACATGTTTTCTCCTTCGAAGTAATCCCCCAGGAGTCTATCGCACTTTCCCAGCCTTCTCTGCCATGCCATAATGTGCTCCTGGAAGGATTCTTCTGGGATCCTCCGCAGCTCCTTTAACATTTAATAGCGAGTCTAGATGTGTAATACAGATATCAGCAATTCAGTTCTTCCTAGTCAAAATGAACAGTTCAGATATCCATCATTCCTATCCACAATTGTAATTACAGACTAGAAACTTTCCTTGCAGAAAATTTGATAGTGCCACGGGAGTCTGCCGGGACATTTAAATGACTATTTTGTAATTACCAAACCTACTAAAAACTTTGAATAACCTAACCCTCAGCTGTGTGAAGGGCTGTTGCTGTGTGGAGGGAGCAGGGGGGATGGGAGCAGGGATAGAGCGTTGCCGGGCAACCAAGCACACAGCTGCAACAGATGCTTGGTTTAACTGTCAAATCAGTCGAAGTGACCAGAAGGAGAAGACCTCAAACAACTGCCATTTTTGTCAAAAAAAAAAAAAAAAGCCGAGCACATTTTCAGAAAGCCAAGACCTTGGGCATTACAGAGATGTTTTTTTTTTTTTCCTAGAGTAAAAAATGAGCGCACAATCATTTGAGAAGTAATGTGTAAATTTCTGGTCCTTGACAAAAATCAGGAGCCGTCTTTGAATGGGTGCAGATGGGGAAAGAAGAGAGACTTGTGGAGGAACAAGGCTCCAAACTCGTCGCCCTGGCCACAATTTTTATGTGACAGACATCATTTTTACATCAAAACGTAGGAAAATTTGTCCTCCCGTTCACAATGTCATTTAGGAAGCCCACAGAATTAAGTTTGGGGGGGTTTTTGGAGCCTTGTTTTTTGGAGCCAGGAACTGTCGGATGCTCAGGGCATTGTGAGCAGGTGCGTTGTCATGGTGAAGCAGCCACGACTTGTCCTGCCACAACTCTCGCCTCTTCTTGTGTACTGAGCGAAGCAAATGTCGTAGGATCTCTTTGTAGACGTGCTGGTTGATTGTCTGAAGGGGAAAACTCATAGTTTGTAGTTAGTGGCACGGGCTGAGCTCGAGGCCCTACTTGTACAGAGTACAAGTAGGGCCTCGGGCGAAGCCCGAGGCCACTATTGTTATTTGGGTATGAAATATGTCTTTTGTGACACCAGTCCTGGAACTTTTCTGACACACCTCGTACGTATGTTTGCCAGCCTTTAATTTTTTTTTAGTGTGTATTTGTTGTTGTTAATTTGGGCGCCTGAACTCAGAAACAAATTTTCATTTGCGTTTATGATTTACTGATTTTCAAAGTCCCTTCTCACACTTTTAAAATGAGCAACAAGCCATTTTTGATGTCAGGCACCCAGCTAACATGTCACTCCATCCCAGCATGCATCTATGTGAGTGTTCGTGAATGTTCTCGCTTCTGTTCTTCATCTCTCCCATGTTGAAGGTCAACCCCAGTAACCGCCTCCCTTCTCCATCCTTCCTGTGATGCGCAGCACCTCCTGTCCATCCTACCACATCTCCATCTTCTTCGCAAGCAGTGACTTGTCCCTTTTCTTCCATGCACACTTTGCATCTCTCATTGCCTTCCACCTCTCTGCCTACTTTGCCCTTTTCCCCTTCATCCATCCATCCCCCCATCCCGTCACACACCCATCCTCCCTTATAATCCTCCCAGTGGAGACAGCGTCATGTAGGGGAGGTTGTAGATGCCCCAGTCTGTCTAGACAGCCTCTAGTGCTGGGGGTCAAAGGTAAGTCGTGTAACTGCGAGCTGTTAGTGGTTCATCATTTCCTCATTCCTTTTGTAACCCGGTGTTGTACTACCTTTTATTTTGCTAATGTAATAAGTGAAGATGATTTTTTTTTTTCTACAAGTGGTGAGGTGCATTGTAATGTGTTGTACAGTGTGCTGACATTTTCCCCTTGTCCTTTGGCACCCTCCAGAGGTGAGGAACGGAGTTGGCAGTGCTGACGAGCTGTACGGAGACAACGGCTACGACTACTACAGCAATCAGGGCATTAGCCAGTGATTGAACCTCAGCCGGTGTCATTTTGCTGTCGCAAGATGGAAAAAACCACAACACACATCATTCATATTTATCAGTGTAAAGTATTTTTTCTTCCCCTCTGCCCTACTGATTAACTGACAGACTGCTGTATCTGGCAGAGACACCAATTGCCCATTTGTTCTGGGTACATTCTGTAAATAGGTTTTTTTTCCCCTGTCAGACAAGAACTACAAGCACTTTTTATTGATAGAATTCGCCAAATCTGTGGCCTCCTCCTCCCACATTTCAGTGTCCAAGAGGTCCCTCTGAGTTACTTCTGGTGCTTCTTTTTAAATATGACTTTCCAGATTCTTTATTTTTAGTAAATTTTCCAAAGCAGTTTATTATTTTAAGCAGTGCAACTGATATTTTTCTCTTAGAAGATGAATTTCTTTTTTTTAAACAAGGCTTTATTGCAGCATAAGGCGAAAGACTTACAGCTCAATATGTTCCTGTCAGCACTCCATGGTGCTGTAGATTGCAATAGTACAAATATTAATATTTATATTTAAAGAGAAAACAAACAAAAAACACAAACATGATGTTTACTGAAATTTTGCCTTCTCCTCCAGGTGAAATATTCACATGGTGGATGTAAGATAATTATTTTATGGAGGCTAAATGCCCTCCTGGTCTACTTTTGACCAGTGCATGGAACTGTAAGAATCCTATCAACTGACTTGTGTGAGTTGTGTTCCCATTGCAACCAAAAGAACTGGTATAAATGTTGGAAGATAAAGATTTGTGCTGTCTTTTTATGGTTATTGGTCAATGTGTGTGGATTACGGTATTCTTTTATCTTTTCTTTTTTAAGATGTGCACAATGTATTGTGTGTATTCTGGATGGGTATATATTTTTGACCCTGTGTGCAGTGCTATGTTGAGTGTGTTCTTGTGTATATAAAAGATAACCCAATGTGTGAGATGCTCCAGCCAACAAAATTAAATAACTACAATAGCAATAGTCTGGTCAGGATGGATTTAAATTCCCTGCACAGCCTTTGAATTGCAGTAAATTCTGTGGTATTTTAGTGTTGACAAACATAGTAAATCTACATGTTGGTTGCTTGCGCACAACTGACATGCTGTAAGGTAAACGAAGTGGGTGCTAAATGTGAAATAAAGCTATATGCTAACTGAAGGGATGCTACAAGTATCACAATAGGCAGCACAGGTCAAGAAATAGATTGCCTTTTGTGTTTGTTTCCTTTCTTTGGGTATTACTGTGCCTCAGAAGTAAACAATAAAAAAAAACTTCTAATGCAGATGTTTCTTTGTTGGGATTTGTTTTGTTTTGTTGTCTAAAGGAATCCAATGAAATTTCTTTTCTACCTTAGCGGTACTCAGACCGCTCTACAATGTTTTTTTCATTCACCCATTCACACACCAATGGCAACAGAGCTGTCATGCAAGACGCTTGCCTGGCGGGGGATCGATCCACCAACCTTGCGATTAGAGGACAACCACTCTATCCCCTGAGCCACAGCCACCTAATAGGGGGATGATTTCAATCTCTAAATTTAAGACTTTTTGAATACAACAAGATGTTCATTTTGTAAATTATGGTCCCATTACAGTAACATAGACGGTAAACTGGGATATGTTTTAGGGTGGGGCTAACTTGAGATTGATAGGTCATTACTTTAAATCTGTGCGTGGTGACATCAAGGTGGCTACATCAATCAAATTCCATTTTGTTTTCAAAATTACTGAACTCACTGCATTACACTGGCCACAGTAGCTGTATGGATATTCAGCTCATCTAATGAAAGGTGAACAGTTAAAATTACATTGGATAACATTACCTGTACTTATCCCATTAGAACAAAATGACACAATATGAATATACATGACCAGACATGAAAACAAATCTACATACCTTGGGTGATTAATTTTTTGCCTGAGTCAGGTCAGATAGATCGTTGGTAATGGCACTCCCATGATCCTATGCTACTTCAGAAAGTCATCAAACTATGTCTTCTGTTATTGTTTTGAATAAGAAACCTCAGTATATCAGTATATGTCTCATTTTCTGTCAGGATGTAGAAGGGTAGTAAGGGCAGCTGTGGCTCAGGTGGTAGAGCGGGTTGTCCTGGAATTGTAAGGTTGTCTCTTTTGCACTGTTACCTTGCTTTGTGTGTACAAGCGGGATCAGCTACACAACACGTTTTACTATGCACTGCACCATTTGCAAGTGTGTATGCAACAAATACATTTGGTTTGATTTGATTTGAATTACATGAGAGCCCTTAGTGTGCCCATTTTACATCATCAGCATCTTTGTCATGATCTTAAATCTGGTATGTTAAGTACTTCTTGCAGGAGTATGTGGCCTACAAAATAAGCCTACAGCAGTTTGTCTTCTCAAAGTACAAAGACAATTGGAATTTTAATAGTTTGAAAAGCAAATTACAATAGTTGAACTTCTTTGTCGAGATTTAGTGAGACTCTGACAGTGAGTAAAACATTGAAATCCAGCATCAATTTATATAGTATTTTTACTAAATACTGTAATAGATCAAGATTTCAGTTTAAATGTGAGAAATAAAACAATAGGTGTAAATACACCTATTTATGACATAACATTTGGCAAAAAACAAACGAAAAAAAAAGGCTGGGAAACTTTTTACTGAACCAAAAGAGATACAAAGTTCTGGATCTTACATTTTCCTTTTCCAAAGATACAGAACTTTGGAACAGAAATTGAAATTAACTTCCATATTGCACAACACTAAGCATCTCTCTAAGAAGCAAATACTTCAATCAGTATTGTACCCATGACGCTAAAGTACTGTGTGAACATTAAGGCTCTCTCCAGTGTGCATCCTCATCTGTTGGCTGGCGACTCCTCACCAGAATACTTCATTCATAAGGTAATGAGTCCATATTGCAGTGACGCTGATTGAAAATTAATTGTGTATATCTATATATTTAAACTTAGGGTCTCTCTTTGTCCCAGTAGACACAAAAATACTCCACAAAGCTTTGCAAGGCGCTTATCAAAGGCCTCTGATTGAACCACTAGTCTGTTCACTTCACTTTAAAACAATATAGCAGCTTTTCATAAGGCACAAGCCACTGTAATGGAAAGACTATAGGTCTGCAAAACACCTGCACACATCCACATTTACAGAGACTCATTCAGTTAACAGAAATAAATAAATAAATAGCTGAAGAAATACTGGCCAGTTTTAAAGTCTTTTAAACAAGTGGTTGTTCCCTGAATTTAACAACATTTAAGCATCTACCTTAACTAAGCATCATGGCTGAAGCAGCAGATAACATGACAGAGAGGCTTCTCTGTCATGCTTAATCAGTATGTTACTATGTCTGCAGATGTTCTCAGTCACTGTCGGAGGAATGTTTCAATACGTTTCTGTTACCGCCACTTTTCACAATCAAGGAGGAAGCATTAGATGAGTTGAACAACCAGCAAGTCTAGCTTGTAAACGTTTAGGTGGCGCTTTGTTTTGTGCATTTTTTTTCCCCAGCAGAAGATGTTAAAATTTAGGACATCTGAGAAGCATGAAACTGTTAATATTCAGTGTCAAACCTCTGTGTCGTTCCTTCTATGTTGATACTCTTGATGAGAGATTAGCTGAAGTTCGTCTTGCGCAGATGTCTGTTGGGTATTTCTATAGCGCTCACTTGTAAAGGCCAGGAGCCACCCATGATGCCAGCCTGAATAGCCACACCTGTAACCACAGCCAGGTCAGGGTCTACTGATGTATTGGGCTCCTTCCCAAAGTACTCACTAATCAGCATTCTGATCCGTGGTATCCTGGTGGACCCTCCAACCAGGACAATCTCATCCACGTCTGATTTCTCTAGGTGGCCTTCTGCTAACACGGTCTCAACAGGGGCCAGAATCTTCTGGAAAAGGTCCTCATTGAGCTCCTCAAAGAGCTTGCGAGTGATATCAGCCTGGAAGAGAACCAGGGAGGGAGTGGAGCGCTCAGGTGACTCAGAGTCGATGTGGATGTGAAGGTGCAGTGGCACCCTGATTGTGGCACTGGGTTGCAGAGTGAGGTTGAGCTTAGCGGCTTCCACAGCTTGTCGGAGACGGTGGATGTCTTCCTTGAGGGTGGGTGGGACACCAAACTCCTGTCGGACTCGCTCTGCCGTGTACTGGAGGAGCCTCTGACTAAAGTCTTGACCTCCCAGTTTGTTATTTCCTGCAAAATATACGATGCACTTAATATTACAATGCTTTTTCTTTCAATCACAACAAGAGACAGAAGCTGCTTTGTTTCAGGATTATAGAAACAGAAAAATAAAATCAGGTTATTGTCCAGTCATTCAATTTCTAATCATTGTATTTTTAGAACAATTTCATCTCAATCATCTCTGATTTGCCTTAAATTTTTATAGCATAAAATATCGATATCTGTCTGGATGAGTCAACTAGTGACATTTTCTGAACCATATGTAGTTGAATGTCACAATAAACAAATACAAAACATACAGAATACTTCTTGATTGAGCAAGTATAAAAAGTTGCACCACAAAGACGAAAATATTGCACGATAGCCTAATCCAAAGAGAACAGTTTCAAAATTGCTCTTCAAATATGGTTAAGAAAACAACTTTTTTTTTAAATTGTTTTTGTGGCCAAATATTCCACCTTAAAGGGTATTCTTCAAATTGTGTTTTGTATTATTGTGACATGCAAGTATATACGGTTCAGAAAATATCACTAACTGACTTTTGCGTTATCAGTTTTTGTTGTATAATCAAAGACAGGACTGTGCATGACTGCTTCATTTGTTTTATTTTGTTTTTTTGTTTTTTTTAACCATATTTCAACTCACCCATAATAAGAAATTATGTAATGTACTTGTCCTTTATTGCAATATTGAATGCAGTATTGCATTCTGAAACAATAGTATGAAGTGAAATAACAGTGAAATGTTAAGGCTTTTATCTTTAATAGTTCCTGAGAGATTGTCATTTAAAGACAGCTTCAAATTTCAAGGGCGTGAAAAAAAAAATGCAGAAAGTGGGTCAAAGGGCAATGTTTTTAAGACTTTTATCACAAAAAGTGTTCGATATATCAATCAAAAAATTCACAGACACCATTTTAAATATCCATTGTTTAAGTTTTTTTTGTTTTTTTTTAATTCAAGCAAATGAGATGGTCGAACAGAAGACTCCAGATAATGTGAGATGGAATAACTCACTAAGGTCTCACTGCAGAGCACATTACCTGCCATCGCCCTGGTGAGGAACATGCCTCCCTGTTTGTTGAGCAGAGACACATCCAAGGTTCCTCCACCAAGGTCCACCACCAGCACGTTAAACACATCCACCTTGTGCAAGCCATAGGCCATGGCAGCAGCTGTGGGTTCGTTGATCACACGCAGGATTTCCAAGCCTGCAAGAGAGTTCACGTTCATAGTTATATTACTAACTTAGGGCACATAGTCCTTTAACTGAGACAATGTGTACAAATGCATTGAACGATTTCTGCAGGCTTTTTGTGTGTTTTGTTTTAAAGTAGTGCGAAACACACCGATAACATACCACAAAAATAAAAAAAAAAAAACACATACTTTTTTAAAGTCAGGTGTCTAACATACAGCTTTCATCAGGACATTTAAAGCTAAAATAATCAGCAAACTGACCAGCGAGGTTAGCAGCCCTGACAGTGTAGTTCCTCTGTCTCTCATCAAATTCTGCAGGTACAGAGATGACGGCCTTCTGGACAAGTACACCCAGCTGTTGCTCTGCCATCTTCCTCATCTTCAGCAGCAGCCTGGAGCCAATAAACTCTGGGCTTACAGTAAAGGTATGGTTGGTGGAGATGACAAACTCTGCACTTCCATTGTTGTTTACCACCTGGAGGAGGGGCAGAGAACAAGCATAAGTGAAGGTAGAGAGAGTGAGGGATGACAAGGGGAGCTAGGTTCAGCTGTGAAGACTTGTGAGGTTTAGCTTTATTATAAATTGAATTCTTGAATAGTTAGGGGCTTTTTTTTTTTTTTTAAATAATAATTCAATCTGGGCTCTGGATAAACTTTTTGCAGAAAATTTTATTAATCTAATTGAGGATAAATCAGTTACAGACAAGACAGATCAATAGCTATTGTCCTCAATACACTGATGCTTTTATTATGTATATATTGATTAATTTTAATAAAGATGCATGAGCCTAAATGATGATGTTCTGGACTTAGATAAAAATAAAATAAACTAATAATTATTATTATTTTAAACTACATCTGATAGGTTCCCTGGCTGCTGAAGTGACTGAGGAATTACAACACCGGTACGACCCACCTTAAACGGGTATCTAGAACTCTCCTGCTCCAGAACACGTGGCTCAAATATCTTCCCAATGAACCTCTTGGCATCGTACACGGTGTTTTGAGGGTTGCTGTCGGCCAGGTCCACAGCTTCGTGCCCTGCCAGCACAACGGTGGTGGTAAAGGAGACGGCGCTGGGGATGCTCTTCCTCCCCTCGTCATCTGCTATCACCTCCACATCCCCGCTACCCGGGTGGAAGACGCCGACAGAGCAGAAGGTGGTGCCCAAGTCCAGGCCGATAACTTTGGGTTTGGGTGGCGGCAGGTACTGCTGACCCAGGTAACCGGCCAGGAATAGGGCCAGAATAACAGAACCTGCGGCACGGAAACAACACGAGTATCACAGGTGGACCAAAGCTGCTAGCTTATCTGTTAGCATCCAAAAATAAGCGTTATTCAACTTACCGATCATAGACATTTCTCCGGCCATCGTCAAACACCGTTGCAAAATCACCTACCAACTAAATGTCACAAATGTCGGTAAAATTGTTCAAGTTGCGGTGAAATGACATCCGGCTTTGAAAACTTGGATGACGCTAAATAGGATTTTTTCAGTCTACCAACAAAATACACGTCAACGTCGTGTGACCCCTTAGGGATGCTGGGTAATGTAGTTTAAAGTCTGCACTACATGACGAAATACAAAGCGCAAGAGATGTTTGCTATATACAACAATTCCCATAAAAGCTAGCGGCATACGATGCGTCACCAAAGTTACCCATGTTTTTAACCAATCACACACAGCGAAAGCGATGTTTCAAAGACAGAGTAGGGTATGTCTGTAGAGCCGGAGGCTGCACTCTCAGGGCCGTACCAATAGGACAGCACTTCTAGGAGGAAGTAATGGCATGTCTTGCCATGATGAAGAACACTCACAGCGAGTGTACTGATCGTGGATCGTTTTATTGTTTAATATTTATAAACATGATGTCTTTATTGCGGAGCAAAGCTGTTGTTAACCTTCTAAAGTGAGAAACAAGCTATGTTTGAACTCTTCATTAAACACTGCAGTCAGGTTTTATCTGATGAAAGCTGCTGTAAACCAACGTTTAGCTTGTTTGCTGATTTTTTTTAACTGAGTCATATCGCGATTTTGGCAGCTCAGCTCAGAGATAATAATAATTTAACTATGGACAGCATTTTAGTAGGTCATCAGATGATAGAAGCATGGTAAAAAGATCACTGTTTACAATAAGTATCAATAACCTTCAGTGTGAATGTTCTATACTCACTGTTTTACAGTGTTAATTGTTTTAATAAAGTTGCAGGTATTTTGACTGGTCCCAGTTTAAATCAGAGGAGTATTACTGCTGCATTCCTCTTAGAGCTGCTGGTTCTGACATAGTTTACTGAGAACCTTTATGGACCTCAGTCATCAGTTATTCTACCCGTGATGAGTCCAGGTGTCTGCTGTAAAAAGTTTAAACTGTGAAACTACATTTTCCTCTATAGTTTTCATAGTTATCATATTCATTGTGCCATTGTTTTGTAATGTTAGGGCATTTAGTATGTTCTTGATCCAGTTCTAGGATTGGGTCTAATTTAGCTCTATTTATGTTGGCACAGTGATCAAACAAAGGTACATTTTGACCAACTGTCCTTTCTTTTTTGAAGGTGCACATACCAACTCAACAAGGGAAATCTTTCCCAATATTGAACACCAGATGCTGCCAAAACTACCACTGCCCATTCTGTGGCTCAATTTTTGTAAAACTGTGAACTATAAAATATATTTTGCCACCGCAAAAAAGTCAGCTATGTACCGTTTATCAGATATATAAATGCAATATCTACTTGAGCATTTTAATGTCTGTCCCTCTGTGTCTCTCTTAGGAGGTAGTGAGATCAGAGATTCAGCGATGGGAATCACAAGACTGTGTGTGTGTGTGTGTAGATTGTATTGAATACATATATATATCTGCCTCCAAAGTTGTTCCTGTGTTTCGCCTCTTTCCAACCTTTTAAACCGTCCTGGTTGAGATCACAGAGGCCATAGAATATGATTCTAATATTATTTTATTATTGCTATCGTTATAAGTAGTATTCAGGGTGGAATAAACCTTTCAAACTGTAACTTTAAAATCTCAACTTGTTAGTGAAAAAGCATGATTTGGATGGAGAAAACCTTTAATACTAGAGGCGCTGCACTTCGACATGAAGTAGTACATTTTGTGGAATAGTCCTTGAATAAATCTTTAAAAAACATAGGTATATTTTGAGGGAAAGGTTCTTTTAAAACCGCAAGTCCTGCACTTTAACAATCACCCATTGCAATAGATGGCGCTGTCTAAACAAAAATGCTCTAAACGTGCTGCCATAGAATAAGTGTGCGTCCTTATCGGTGCGGGTCGTGATACGGCAGCTCTGCAAACACTTGCTACTCGGAAATGAAAGTGGGGGGGGCGTAGGCATTTCAATAAAATGTCTATTATTATTATTATTGTTATTATTATTATNCACTCACGTTAAAAAAGCTTCTTCTTCTTCTTCTTCTCCTTCTTCTTCTAGTAAACCAAATTCAGGCGTGTTACCGCCACCTACAGGACTGTCCTTTTTCTGTTTTTCCTGTCCTCACAGTGGAGGTGTCCTGACAGTAGAGGTCTGCGGCGGAAGCGGCCTCACAGTGGAGGTCTGCAGCCAGGTGCCTCTCAAGGCAGGGGACACCCTGGACAGGTCACCAGTCTATCACAGGGCTACACTTAGAGACAGACAACCATGTACACTCACATTCACACCTACAGACAATTTAGAATCACCAATTAACCTCAACATGTTTTTTGACTGTGTGGGAGGAAGCCGGGGAACCCACGCTGCACGGGAGAACATGCAAACTCCATGCAGAAAGATCCTGGTGCCCCCACTGGGACGCAAACCGGCGACCTTCTTCACCTTGCAGCCCATTATTATTATTATTATTGTTATTGTTATTATTATTATTGTTGTTGTTGTTGTTGTTACTATTATTATATAACATTGAAAGTCCATCTCGTTTCATTTTTGGCCTTTAAGCATGCATCTTGCATTATAATATTGTACTGACAGGTAAAAAAATAAAATAAAATACTGTGGCAACCAAACAGAAAAGACAGAAATCCTATTTTACTGTATTTCTTTAATTTGTTTACAAAAAACTGTGAAAACAGATGACTTTCACATAAATGTACACACAGACTCTCTGACCCACACTTTCACTCACACACATGTTCAGAAAATAACACACATTAATCTGTACAGTACAAAATATAGGCAAGATCTGAATATGCATTTGTCATATTCAGACACCAGAATTCCAAAACCATCCCTTCATCAATACCACTTCATGCACAGGAAAACACAGACACACACAGACACACACACACTGGAAGATAAAGTGAGATTGGATGTAATGACAAAGGTTAAAAATGATGCAGTTGTGATAAATAAAGGCTTTATATGCAAAAACACTGAATGACTTTAGAATGCAATAAATATAATTGACATAAAAGCAATAAAATGCCATTTCCTCTGCAACTTAAAAAAAACAGTCTAAAAAAATCAAAATTTACAACTATTATCTCAATAAAGCAACAAAAGGATAAGATGACATTTAGAATGCTGGTTGTTTGTTTTTCCTGTTACACTTCTAAAAAGCTTTTACATTAGGCAAACTTGTGGCTGGAATAGGGGTACAAAGATACATCTGGAGTGGATTAAAAGTATTTTTTTTTATTTTTATTTTTTTAACCATTTTTATCGAAGTCATCCGAAAACATGCAACTCGCTATTCCAAATGTCAACGTATCCATCTGACAAACAATCCCTTTACGATTCCACTGGCTCTGTGAGCTGCTCTGTGTCCTCTTTGCTGTCTGAACATTCAGATGGGATGAAACAGCCTGAGTCTCTGGGACAGTCACTGTCTTCTTCCTGTAGACTGTGGGAGGACTTGTGCTCCTCTGCATCCCTGACATCATCACCTGCAGCCACAAAACCAATGGAATTACTTCAGATGTCATAATATTACAAGTATTTCTAACCACATTAGAGAAGTTGAGATCTGTGGCAAATGATTCACTCATTGGAAATTAACCTATATGTTGATGTGTGCTGTTACTGCTGTTATAGCAACAGTGCTGTGCATTATTTGTTAATTAACTGTGGGTGGCCTACTGTCCTCAATACAAAATTACCTTGTGCAAGTGTAGCCACACAAACAGCAATGGAAAGCATGTCAACTTTTTTTTAAAATACGCGTATTTTCCACTGTAAATAGTGACAATATTCCATTATTCTTTCATTTAGTTACTTCACTGACAGAAGCTGCAAATCCTGATGGAGCACTAACCTAATGGAGTTCAGCTTGATGAAATTACTGGCATCTCATGTGAGTTAACAAGCTTCGCAGGGTCACGCTGCGGCTGCTGCCATCTGTTTAGTCACACCACCAAGTGGAAAATTACAGTGACCTCTAATTTGCCCTGCACACAAGTTAAATTCAATAAAGCATGAACACACAGATGAAACTCGCCAGTGAATGTTGGTTCTTCTTCATACTGGAAAGTAGTTTTGTTTTCATTCATCCAGGCCTCTGTGATAATCAGGCTTCTGCGTTAAGACATCAGATTACAGGAACACCTTCTGCCCTCTTAAGCACTTTCTATCTGACTAACAGGAAATCACTGATAAGCCTCTCACAGAGTGAAGGATGTGTTTCTGTTCAGTGGCACAAATGTCTCAGTTTATACCTGCATTTTTATGATTTAACAACTGAACTTTTTTATTCACCAGCAGAAATTAATTTTAAAAATACATTTACATTATTCAATAGTGTTAAATGAAAAGGAGTATGCTTTGTTTTAGGCTGTAAAAACAGAACTGTCATTTACTTAGCTTAGCTTCTCTTGCTGTTTGTGTGTCATTTAAGTCATTAAAACATTTGTAACTTGAATGAAATGTGAAACTAGTCAAGTCACCAGTTTTTATACAGCATATTTAAAACAACAGACAGAGAAATAAGAATAATGTTACAAATTAACCTAACAATTAAATATTTTAATATGTTATTTTAACAATGTTATGGAGAAATTACTGTTGCTACAATGCTTTCTAGAATGCTAATTTTTGATTGGATAATGAGATAGTTCTCGGGTGTGTCTACTTAAACAGGAGTGTCCATTCTAATAAATAAACCTTCTTGGATCCACATGCTGCCTTAAAGACTAAACTACTATAACTATTTGATTACTGCCAACACTTCGCCATCTATACAGACAGATGCAGAGGGATTCCTATAAAATAGGCCTACATTATTGTAAGTCCTGAAGAGAACTTGGGATATCAGATAGTTTTGCATTTTAGTGTCAATACCTCAAGGAAAGAGTTTTTTGTTTTCTTGATTTTTTGGTTATTATCATTTATTGAGGCAACATAAACCACCTAATGAAACTCTTTTGGGTGATCAGGGTAGGTGTTGTTGATGATTTACATTAGCACAAGTGAGACTTATTCCTTACCTTCTGTGTAGCGACATTCAGCAGCAGCCAGTAGCCTGCGTCTATGTTCGGGGTCTTTGACGTTCAGTTCTATCAAGTGTTTCTCCTGCAGGTGCATCAGGTCCTCCACTGTCTGATAGCCATTCAGCAGCAAGGCAGAGGCGTATTCCTAAAACAGCAACAGTGGGGTATTGGTTTCCATCAAATTATCGTAACAACCTGAGTGAAAACCTCAGTGGTTCACATGTTCATCTATCATGGCCCTTGTTTTTTTTTTTTTTTTTACATAAAAAAAGTCTAAAAGCAAGTGTTTAAAATAGTTTCAAACTGGTTTCAAACAAAGAGACTTGATAACACAAAATATTCCACCACCATTGAAATCCTGTCTCTTAAAACCTGTGATTAGTCATAAAACTAAATCTCAGTGATCTCAAGTGAGTGGATCCTGTCCTCACCTCCAGATTCAATCGCTCCAGTAACTCCAGCAGCGTTTTAGGTCGAGGTCTTTTGCATAGCTTCTGTGGTCGGATCTTAGGAGCTTCTTCTTCTTCCTCTTTCTCCACCAAAACGTCTACATAGATGAACTTAAAGTTGCCCACTTTGTTTTTTAGCATACCCGTCCAGATGCCCATCGGAGGCTTGCTGATGATGTTGATAATGTCACCGACCTAGTGTAGGAAAAGAAATCACCGTTAATGGATAGAATCAGGAAGAAGGTGTCGATTCCTGAGTAAGTTTTAACTGTTGACAGCATAATTTGTGCTTAATTGAGGCGGCTTTGTTATTACTATATGGTATGGAGAGCAACCTTGAGTTTGAGGGAGTCTGTGTCATATGGGCTAGGAACAAAATCTGTGTGGACCCGAGCTCTGCCACAGAACTGTCCCTGGTAGGAGCTGTCTTCCTCCAATTTCAGACTGTCTCTCTGACCAGAACCGTTGGACTCACTGGTCACACCACCTGAACCCACAAACACAATATGATTACACATCTGTTAGGAATCCCTAGTTCTGCTTAAAACTCTGTAAATTTATTCACCATTTGGGCTGAATTGACCCAGTCCTCTTTGACATATTTATACAGTGTGCTGACACTTACTCAAAGAGCTCTGGCCACTGTAAAGACTCTCTAAAGAGTTGCTTGTCTTTGCAAAGTTTTTCTCAGCTGGAGAGACACTTTCTGTCTCTGCGTCTGGATCTTTGTCTGTGTCATCACACTGCAAGAAAAAAAGAAATAAAGTAAAAGATGTATAAAATACAGACAAAATGCAGGATCATTAACCAGTCATAGATTACAGTGTGCAAACAGCTCCAAACTGATCAATACATCTATATGAAAGACAATGAACTGAAACAGAGATTGTCAGATGGAGATGTGGGGGGTTGTGAAAGTCACAAAGCTACTGACAACATTTTATCTCACTATCTGATTTTGCAGGAAAGCACAAAACACTTTCTGGCTCGAGTAAGAGCAAAGAGCGTCATTTAAATATTACCAACAACAGCGTCATATTCGAGGATGTGGTTTTATGGGCGATGAAAGAGATAAAACTCTTGAGAAAAATAGCAGAGGTTTCCAGACTGATGGTCTGGACTTTGTGTGTGGCAGGTATCATGAGGGTTTTTTGATTATTTTTGCACATAGATTATTGATTGATGAACATGATATAATAATATACTATTGACTTTACAAATTGTGCGTATAAATGATCAAAAGCTTTACAACTGTGTGTGTAAGAGTGTGTTTGACTTACTGTTTCCTCAGAAAAGGACTTTACGTGTTTTTTGCCCATTCTTCTGCGCATGGTCAGTGAAATTGCTTTCATTTTCTTCCCAAGTCCAGCTGATTTATGGGGGTCTGAACTTTCACATTCCTCTGTGAGCTGAGTATAGAAAGTTGGTTTAGTACATTTAAGACTGTAGTATTAAATATATTTCTATATTGGATTCCCACTGTTTCTGCTACCAAATCATATTTAACCCCAAAAAATTGTATTTCTGTTAAATAAGCATCCAGTAAAATATAAACAGCTTTTTATTCTTCTTGTTGTCATCAGTCCTATTTGCTTTATAATACAAAACATGTTGTATACACGCAAATATGTAGCACTATAACATAGTTTTAATGAAAAGTTTTAGTCCATTTACCCTGCATTTCCAAATTACCTACTGTCATTCTGAGTGCTCTATGAGCATTTACTGGCCTTATGCATGTAAAAAAGAAACAACAAACACATCTACAAACCATAGTTGTTCCATTTTCCTCTGGTTTGGCCTGTGATGAATGATATCTGAGACCCTCAAACCTGCCGAAGCTTGTGGAGCGCTGTGGGGAACAGTCAAAGATAAATGCATAAGCAAAACTGGCACAGGAGTGACAAGGTTTGTTTGGCATTTCATAACTTCTTGTCTCAGATGTCTCAAGTCTCTGTGACCTCAGTGGATTGCACAGATGAAATGTCATCAGTATCCATATTTTAAAATGCTGTCAATTAAAAACAGTCAAAATGTTTCTAATTTTTGCTCACAACTGCAAAGATCTTAAGTCAAAGTAACATACAGTAAATACTGTGTGTATGCATATATGCAGCAAACATACAGTCTGTTCAGAGAGTGTTCTAAAGTCAGAGCATGTAAAAAATGTGGAACATTTGGGGCCATGTTTTAAATAATGTAAGACGTCAGTTGAAGAGGAGAACAACATTTCTTCCTATTCAAGGTGTGCTTGATAAATGAGTAGAAAATACATAAAAACAACTTCTATATCCTCAAAAAATCGGTGACATCAACTGAGAGTCAATTTATTCTGGTTTAGTTTTAATTCTTTCCCTGTCCCCACCCAGTTCTCATAAAACTAAATGTCATTATAATCTCTTCCAAACCCCCATCATGTCCACGGCAAAGCACCAAAATAATTATATAAATGAATAATCCCTGGAAATCCTGGTTAAATATGAGCTCCATACTCCTAGACAGCCCTCTGCTGCTTGATTTAATGCAACAGTGACTACACTTTGACTGACAAGTCCACATACATTGTTGTGCCTAAAAATACAGTCAAATTCAAGGTTTTCATTCTGTATTGTCTGTGTTGTATTGTTACTGTTGTTTGCCTGTTTTAAAAATGTGAAAAAGTTTTAAGAAATTTTTTTTCTGTAAATATCTAAGCAAACAAGTAGTCTTTGGATTGATTTTCCTTGTGTATATAATATATGTACATATATAATATATATATAATATGTATTATATATATATATATATATATATACTTTGTCATGTATTTATTTAAAGGATGCTATACATTAAATTCAGCCACATCTCACACAGATGTGTTACAATAACATTTACTCTTGAAAACATTTGACATTTTTTAAAAGTGATTTCAAAGATGACATTTGAGCTTCTTTGCTTTCTTGTCTCACTAGCTCCTATAGCACATTTAGTTATTTTTTAACTTCACTTACCTTTGGTTTGTTGCTCTTTGCTTTGTCTGACACATTGGATGCCGCCCTCTGTAACATTTTCTGCTGTTTTGAGGGAATTGTCAGATTTCAGTCTTTGGTCTTTACTTTTCTTTACCACACTCTTCTGACAGTCAAGTGTTAACTAAGAGAGCGGTTGTCTGTCTGATGTGCTGGCTGGCCCACTTCCTTATAACACACAGGATGTGAGGCAATTGACATTGTGTCTCTCACTGCAGTGTCGCTTTGAAAGGGAAAAATACAAATGCTTAAGTGTGCATTTTGTGGCCTGTTACATGAAACACATTGAGAGCTACTTCCAGGAACCACTGCATTTAGGTTTTCTAATTGTGTTATTTGTTTTTGATAAGATAACAAAGAACCCAGAAAGAATGAGCTCACATCAAGTCTGCTACTGGAGTAGCATCTCTGTGGTTGGTCCACACAGACTTGGGCAGTAATGTCATTAAGTATAACTCAGTCACATATTCACTGTGTCAGGTTGTAATGTAATTATTCTACATATTCAAAACTCCACAGTACAAACTGTTTTATACATTTTAGGGTTTAAAAAAGAAAAAAAGTTCTAAATTCAATATCCATCACTATTTTCCTTTATCCACAAAGGGGAACTTGGTTATGGTAAGTGATGCTAGAGTAATTATTCTTATGCATTCATTTCTTAATGTGGGGTGAATACTTTTGAGGAAGTACTGATGTATGACAGAGGAACAGCTGAAAGTGGCAACTTTGTTGTGTCGACACACTTTCCGGTCCACCTCTGCTCTCAATATGAAAGTAAAGATATTTTTTGTGTTAGAAATGCTGTCAAAACTGTCCAACGAGGCTCCTGCTTTAAAATGTATTTATTTTTTGATGATAGTTAATGTCATAAAATAATCGCCAGTGACCTCTTTACAAATGTGTAGTTTTCCAGTGAATCTGTGAGGCCATTTTTACTTTTCACAGAACCCTACATTGTTGTCAGTAATCACTCTGACATGGCCATGATGTGGGGAGTGGGGATTTGCTGCTGTGTTTACATTGCAGCTGGTTTCATTTGGTCAATTGTTAAAAGGGAATTCTAAAGACAAAACCACTGCCTAATCCTACTGCTTGCAATCAGCCATAAACTCCTGTCAATCCAGATTAAGATTTCTAATCTGCGACTTGAGAGGCTCCTCACTCCCAGGAGAGGCTGTTGTTCATCTAAAGTGAAGAGTTCAATGTGAGATGATTTGAGAAAATCATCTTATCTTTGTCAAAATGTTTTGACACAATTTGTAGGCAAGAGTTTCTCATTTGTTGTCAGTATTATTTGATGGATTTGTTTCCCAATAGAATGTAAAAGAGGATTAAAGCGGGCTTTTTATAAACTGTCATGTCAAAAAAAACCAGTTCTTTAAATTTTACAGATTTATTCTGTATTTTCAAAATACAGAAAAATAATTGTTATTTTGAGTTTGCTGATAAATCTAATGAAAAACTTATAGTAAATATGATCTAAAAGTAACACATAAATACTATCATAAATATTTGTATAAAAACAATGGTTTGAACTATTTTTGAAAGGTAAATCCATCCGTTTTTTAGTTGTAGGCATACTGAACATTAAAGATATTTAAAATATTCCATTATGTTACATTTAAAAACTAACTTGTATTATACGTGATGTAATTGCAGTTGTGATCAAAATTATATTTAAATAATAGCGGTTAGACAGTTTCTAAAAGGTAACCCTATTATTTCATGGGTCGTCATACTTTTTAACATTAAAAGCCTGTCAAAAACACTAGATTAGTCTGTAAAGTTACATGTAAAAACTCATATTACACTTGATAGCATCTACATTTTTGCAATTACAAACCAAATAACTAGTTTTCTAACAATATATTGAAAACTTTCTTCTTTTTAAAAAAAATAATGGTAATAGCAAATAACTAATAATGACAGTTTCCTGTAGTTTTAAACCTAAACACTTGTATTATAGCATTATTAGACCATGTTTGTAGATAATTTCACTGTTTTTCATTCAACAAAAGTCCAAGAAACACATGATCTCATGTGTTTTCAGCTTGCAGCTGTGTTTTAATTATGAGAAAAATATAGCATTTTTAATGTTTTTTTTTTTTATCAATGTTTTTTTTTCAGTATTTCAGTATTTTGGCACCCCAGCTGTCTTGCTTTTTTGTGTTTGTTTGTTTTTGTTTTTTTTAACATTTGCTTCGTAAAGGAACACAACTGTCAGTGTCATCATATATTTTGCAGTGGAAAACTTGATGACCATATAATACCAGACCTCAAAAAATTAACTAGTGAGTATTTTCTTTTTCTATTTTTTTATCATATTTTTTTTTTCTTCTGACCTCATATGGAGCAACATTGTCATCAAAGAAAGAGAGTATTTGAAGAGAAAGTCTTCACCTCTGCACCATCTCCAACTATAATTAGAGGCTTTATGTCCGGTTAAATGAGTTTCCACCTCTATGACCAGTAATGCTACAGAGCTATAGGGGTTTTTGTAGTCTTGGCCCAAGATCATTCTTTTTATCTGTGACAATTTTCTCCCAAGTCATGTTAAGCTTTAACAACAGCTTTGTGTCCCACATGGCATTTGCTGCACATGCTCACTGGGTATCAGTGAGGGTCTTATGCTTTTGAGAGATGCCAAATGCACTCAAAAGCATTGCCCTTCAAGGTCAATCTGCACTATTGTGTGGAATTAGTAGTGAGCTGAATGTAAGCAAAATCTACCGTCCTTATTCTGCGTATAATGCATTTTACAGTTCAACCAAAATTAGTAGGTATAGAAGCGTATTGCTGTCACACCAGAGAATTTTTTTTTTTTAATTTTAAAATGGGGCACCGCTATGGCTCACCTGGTTGAGCTGGTGTCCTATGTACAGGGCTACAGTCCCGATGTGGAGGTCATGAGTTCGAATCCCGCTCATGGCCCTTTCCCACACGTCCTCCCCCCAGTCTTCTCCCCCACTTTCCTGTCTCTCTCTCACTTCACAATCAAATAAAGGCACAAAGGCCAAAAAAATAACTTTAAAAAAAAAAAAAAAGATAAATTTTATGTCATGAAGCTAAAAGATTATTGTTCCAACAAGATGTTTTCCTGTTATTACAGCATTCAAAGTGATATGGGTTTTTTTTGCTTGTTATAACACTATAACATTTAGTTTGGTATAATGTAAAATCCTTCAATTATGACATGATGATTTATTGTAGTATGTAGTAACATTAACTATTTCACATGCTAATGTAATAACTTAACCAATGTTGTCATAACATAAATGTCATGTTTAAATGAGGAAACCTTTAGAGAATGGATTAATTAAGGATTATGGCTTAGGCACACAATTCGATGAAGTCTTACTCTGTGCTCAAGCTGAAACATGGTGAGATTCTGCTATTATTGACCACAGTAGATAATATTGTTTCAAGTATGTGTACACAAAGAATGAAAAAAAAATGTTCGGGTCTGCATAGAAGGAAGAATAAGTCCAACCTTTTGGAGGAAGCCTCCCATTGTTTCTTATTGATCACTTGGAGGGGCTCAGGAGACGTCATGAATACATGACTTATAAGATTAACCTGTTGTGCTAAATAACAGCAGAATTTTATCATGTCTCAACCCAAACACAAAGCAGAACTTAATAAGTATTTTTCTCAATTCATCCCTTCTCAATTGAAACCTTATTTATTGAGAAGGGATAAATAAGGTATCATGTCATAAAAAGATAAATTGTGTATTGTTATAACAAGAAAAGTTTCATGTTATAGTAGGTAATGTATTTATCATAATATGTAAAAAAAACAAAAAAAAAAACAAAAAAAAACAACAACAACAAAAAAACACTGATCCATTTTTCTTTTTCTGGTGTGACACTAAAGACAGAAAGTATGAGTACGTATGACTTTGACTGGAAGCAAATAAAGTGTACCACTGGAAGATATTCTTTTGGTTTGCCAATATTACCTACGCTTTTGAATTCAGCTTAGCCCGCAACAAAGACTGTGGAAAATCTTATCTCCTATTACTTATATTGGACTCATGAAGGAACCTGTTTGGCTACAAAAGACAGAAGGAATAAATACAGCAACCAAAAACTATTTTTGTCTTTATATGAGTATGCAAGTACTGTTTTAAGATAAACCTGGAAAAATGCAAATTTTTCTTTGAATATTTTCCTGTCTGTCATTACTTTTAGCAGAAATTTTTCAGTAAATTGTAATGTGGAGCATGAGAATGACGAAGGCAAAACTGTAAAGGTCCCTTTGAGGGTGGCACATCATTAAAGTTGCATAGTGACCAATTCTCTGAAACTGCACTATTAGTGCATAGCCCAACAACAGCTGTTCTGAATGTTTAAGTTCCTGTCCATCACGATATCATCAGGGACTCATCTAACTAATCCCACATCCCTTCTGCAGCATGTGGCCAACCCCAAACAAGCAGACAGTGACATAAAGATCTGACCTCGATGACAAGATGAACAAAGAGTCCTACAACCGATCATATGGCCCCTACTGAGCCTTGATCTTAGAATTTTTCCAGTAAGTCTGAGAGTACATGAAGAAACAAAAGGCTGAAATCCACAGAGGAATTGTAACAAGTTCTCTAAGATGCTTTGAACAACGTACCTTCCATGATATGTTAAAAACTTTGAAGTCAATGATGAATAAATTCTATGAGAGTACTGTATATCTATCAACATGAACTTACATTTGGTTCTGAAAGATCCACATCCGTGATAGATCGTGACACCCTTTGGGGAATCTGGGGTTTATAGTCCTGGGCCATTGGCTGCTGTTGTCTTCCCTCCCAGTCCTTTCCATGTGCTGCAGAAAAGTCATGGGAGTACACACGATACTCGGTAAGCGGCCGGCGGCAGGTGTGCTGTATGGTTCCCCATGCAGGACTGCTGTCACTTGGGTTGCTCCAGTGCTGGTGGTGGGTGGGAGTTGCTCCACCAGGTAGGTTGACTATGTCTGTGCATTGGCCCGGGGTTGCGTTCTCCTGAGCGGGGAGGGTGGAGGATTTGCCTGGATGAGGCCTCCTGTCTGACCTGTATGGCACATCCAGATAGTTTGGTCCCATGGGTGGGCTCATGGTGCCTGGTGGGGAGCACACTGAGAGAAAAGGCAGAGCAAAGTAAATAAAACTGACATTTAACCTGACAAATAACAAATTAGGACTTTGAAACAGGAAAGAGAGGAAAGGAAATGTAAAGATGGTACAGAGCAGTCAGAGTTTTGTAGTGTCTCCTTGGCCCGACAGTTTAAACCTGCTTTGTGTGTACATGTAATGTGAAGACACCACAGGCACCTACCCTGAAGGTGTTGCAACACTTAAAAGCAGAAGTATAATTCAAAATATATCACGGCAGAAAGGTCATGAACTGGAGTAGCTGCATGTCTACGTACATCTGTTCTGCTCCTGTAAGCACAAATCTAACTGAGTCACAACATGGCAACTGAGTCACACAGATGCTAGAAATGTCAAAAAGTACAGTTTAGACCAAAGAGTAGGAAGACAGCATCCTTTAATTTTGGAAAGTTGTCTTACTTGTGGAGTTCTGACTTTTTTTTGTCCCTTCTTTCCCATTCTTTCCACCTGACTTCTTCCCAACCTTTTGGCTTCTTTTGATGGCAGGTCTAGACTCTGTTGCCACTCCATTGGTGTGGACAGTCTGACAACACAAACATACACTTTATTTAAATACTTTCATTACAAAATGTTTAAAATGCGACACACCTTCTGACTGCTCACAGAAAAAAAACTCTCAGGGACCTTTAATGACATAGCAATATTCTTATTCACTTACATTTTGGTTTGTTTTGATACTTTTGTTCAGACTAAAATATCTCACAAGCTTACATGAAAATTCTGCCGGTCTTTGCAGAGATGGTCATTGTGATACCTTAACTTTTCAACGAAGCGTAACCATTCAGGGAGTATTTTTGTTGTCTTTAATGAAAATGTCTACTGAATTGAATTTGATAAACCTAATTCCGTAGCAGGTTGCCGGTTGGGGCAACTGATTTAAGATGGTCCAACAATTTATTTTTTTCAGCATGTCAGAGAAAGTCAACTTACTGTGATGTATCAAATTCAGTACATTTGGAATAGCAAAGCATCCAAACATCAAAAAGAAGCCTAAAAATCTGACATTGGACTGCAATATAGAAAGAGCAGAGACCCATCTCATAAGCAGCATCTGCACCTACAGCACTACAGAGCTACTATTCATTTATTCAGTGCTATTATTGTGTAAAAAACAAACAAACAAACAAAAAAATTGCCACTGATCCAGTACTGGCAGACTCTGCTTGGTTTGGTTCTCTCTATGTTCACTACATTAAGTACACTGGGCACTCCTGTTGGCTGATTGTGAAGGATCCAGTCAAAAGAGCGAATCTTTTAAGTGAACTGAACCAACATTTCTCAGTTGATTTGAGATCTCATTCAGTTGCAGGTGAACTATAGGAACACACTCACTGACTAAAAGATTCAGTCATCGATTCACTCATCGATTCACTCACTCACTCACTCACTTTCAGTGATTTCTTTGCAGGGAGTGAGCACAAAGTGACCTCGCATGAAGCCTCTAAACCCTTCCTACACCAAACACACACGCAGGGCAACCACGCACACACGCGCACACACG